ACGATTGTTTAATATGAATTATCATAAAAATGAAATATATGTTAAATATTACAGATATTAAATTCAATTGCTTTCCAAATTTTCAATTGATTGTATAGACAAATATATAATATGTCATTGAATGAAATCCATTATTTCATTTTTATTAAAATTTTTTATATTCTAATGTAACTTTATGTCGGTACATATAGGTTGTTTTTTAATTGAACAACATCATCATCGAGATGGAATGGGGCGACCTGGGTCCGAAGGTGCAAGGACGTCAAGACTTGATGATCACCTTCGGAAAACTTGAAACTTGAATGACGGCGACTGCTACCCTCGAATTAAAACGATAAAAAATCAATGCCAGAGTGATTCCACTTTTACTTTTTCTGCCCGGAATCGTTAATTTTGCATAAACAAACACTTTCCGTTTTTTATTACAACTGAAAAACATGAAACATGAAAATTATTTCTGTCGTCGTTAAACGCTGAGTATCATATTCTGCAATTAACGCAGAATTTTTTCATCGCCGATCCATAAATTGTCGATTGCATTAGATTGATTGATTTTTTTTTTAATGAGTGTGAGATATTGATTGAGGCTATTGTTGTGCCGTCTGCTTTCAAGGAATTGTCATTCAATTATTATTCGTGATCGATGAATTACCAGGGTAATGCGAATATTGGTATTCTCTCGAGCGTGGATCCGAGGAATAAATGCGGAAGGTATGATCGAACGCGATTCGGCCGATGTACCATCACTTTCTAGAATATGCAATGTGGATTTACGGAAGTAACTTATCCGCTTTTTCCACTTATTCCAATTTTTCGTTTCACGTCTTGATAAAATTTATCAATTATTCCATCAACTCAATTTTCATTTTAATTTCAACTCATTAAGTATTTCTTATCATAGATAATCTATCTCGCTGATAATTATCATAATTAATAATAATATTATTAATTCTGTACCGAAGGGGTGAAGTAGGAAGGGTAAAGCTGAGCCAGAAAAAATGCATTTATCCAATAGTTTATTTACCAGAATTATTAATAATAGTTAATTAATAATTAAGTATTTTTTCTGATTAAATAAGAAATGCAAAAGTCATATTTAAAAAAAAAAATTGATAGTTATTTTTTTTTTTGTGGCGTGAAATCACCAAGATAATTCCCCACCGACGAAAAATCATCGAATCTGTTATTCCCGCATTTATCTCAACGAATGATTGCAGGTCACAATGTCAGACGAGCATATTTGTAGATCAACGGTTTTACACCGAAAAAAATGTACAATTTTCATCGAGAACAGCTAATTAGCAAGATAGTTCTAATCGAATATTCTGCATTATCAATGCTGTTTGCTGATTTGGGGCCAGATTCATGATTTCTGGCGCCGTACTAGATAATCTGAATGACCCCTGAATATATTACACCATTAATATTTCTAATAGTTCAACAATGAGACACTCCCCCAATCATTTGCTGTTTGAATAATACGTCAAAGGGAAAGATAAACTACCAAAAAATAAATTCATTTGCGTTAAATATTTCGTACACGATGCAGCATATTAATTGTTATGAAATCCTCAATTTTTTTTTGCGTAATCACATTCGCCATCACCAAAAAAAATATTGGAGTTACAATAATCATTTCGTAGAATTTTCAAAATCTACTATTAAACAAAATAATAATAATGACAATAATAATAATAATTCTTTAATAATATAATAAATAATGTTTTTCCCTCAAATGAGAAAAAAGGGTGTACGAGAGAAAAAGTTGGTAATAATTTATTTATAAAAAATGGGGATTGGTGAATAAAATGTAAGTGTAATGGATTGAAGTAAAATAGTGCTATTGCCCATTAAAAAATGAAGA